GATTAAGGTTCGGGGCCTGCCCAGTGGGTCCCCAAACCTCCAGGGACCCAGAGGAATGAATGGAGAAACTGGGGCAATGGGATGGCTCCCAGGAAGCATCATAGAAAAAGCCCAGAGTTTGGCACCAGAAAAAGTACAGGCTCACATCCCGACTTTGCCGCTTACTCATTCACAGGCCTTGGGCAAATGATTGAAATTCTCTGCACTTTAGCTTCTGTGTCTTATTCCTATTCTACAAGTTGTTGTGAGGCGCAGAAATAATGTACATGCAGTGTCGGGCAGAAAGGAGATGCTTGAAGATGATTATTATGCCTGATGTCTTCAGTGTCCCAGTAGTGGCTGATTTTTATGATAATGAACCTGACAGATTCCGCTCTTCCGATGTGGCAGAGACCGGCTCCATTGTGCTCCCATTAGTCTGAACCACGTCTCAGAACAGCCTAACTCGCTGTAAACTGGTCATCTTCACGGGGTGTGCATGGCAATGTGAAATTACTAGCATATTCAGCTTTCCGTGAATAGCATGGCGTGGCCATTAGGTAAAGACCAAGGAAGAATGACTGATGAAGACACTGATTGCTTCTTAACGTTAAAGGGCCTCCTTAGGGTGTGGAATGGCTGCACAGTCGAGGGTATGGTTTATGCCGTAGCGTCTGCCGTCCCACAAACGGAACAAGGTGGTGGGGACTGAATCGATTCGGCGGGATGTCTTTGTGTGCGAGGCTTTCCCGCTGCTCTCTGAATGCTTCTGTATTCATAGATGTAGAAAGTGCTTCTCTCTCATTCTGTTTCTGTGCCGTCCCCCAGGGAACAGGCCCCCAGGACCGATGAGCTAAGGAATAACACGGATGAGCCCTGACCCTGTACTCAGACATTGATAGGGATGCAAGAGTAGCATCAGAAGTGCACTTACGTGATCTGGAATGGAACGAGAGGATGCTTCCCGTTTTTAATGCTGGGGTCCTAGAGGCGGAGCTTGTTGGATATGTAAATTGAATATAGAGTATCAATTAGAATGTATCATCCAGTGCATAATCATGCTTCGTGCTTGGTGATATCTTCCGCAGAGAACTTTGAGTTTATTTGTTTGTTTTACTATTCAGCTATGTTTATACAATGCTGCCAAAATTTCTAATGTTGCCCTTCTGTCCGTCAGATGACTGGTCAACCACCTTTATTCAGTGTGTGCTGTGCAGCAGTTTCTATAATTCTGGCTCTAATTCTTGAGCTGTCACCGGAATAGATGAACGGAGTCTGCAGAAAGCTCATGGAAGTTTAAGAGAAAGGAAAAGCCAGAGAAGGCAAGTTGTATGTCCTCAACCCCTGGGCCGAAGAGAACAGTAGGGGGGGTTCATGCGGATAAAGGGACCTACAATTCAGAAATGCAGCATTTCCTAGTGCTGTGTTTATTTACTTAATACTTTTACAAAGCAACTTGTTTGAAATAACTTTCCATGTACAGAAAAGTTGCAGGTGAGGACGGAGAGCCGCCTGCGTGTCTCCCTCACTCTGATCTGGGTCCACATCCGTGATCATAAAGCCTCTTCTTGCTGCTTGAGAGCAGCCGTGGACGTGATGCCCCATCAGCCCTAAGGACCCCTCACGCATTTCCCCAAACGAGGACACTCCACCTGCCACCAACCTGCCGCTCTCCCAGGCAAAAAACTGGCATCGGCACACCACGCCTAGCCCGTCCACAGACCCCACTCGCAATGGCACCGGCCACCCAACATTGTCCTTCCCTCCTCTCTGGTGGGGGCACACACATGTATACACTTGTCACGTCCCTTTAGTCTCTTTCACCTTAGGTTTGACTTTCGACTTGACGAGTTTTACATTTTATATTCATGTAGTGACCAGTAAATCAGATTTCAAGCAGCTTATGAGAGCACACAGAACCAACGAAATGAGGGCTTCTTCGCTTGAGTTCAGTTGGACATCTTTTCATGCCTGCTCTCTCTGGCTCAGGCAGTGCTCCTGGTGCAGGTCCTGAAACCGTGATGGGCACGGTGACATGGGCCCTGTGTCACGGACACGGGGCCTCGTACAAGCAGAGACGAGTTCGAGGCCCCTTGTGCAGGGGGAAGCCCTGTGTGCTTAGGGAATGTAAGACCGAGGATTCCAGGGGAGGGAGGGCGGGGGCCGGGAGGGGGACTGATGGAGGGAGGAGCAGGACTTAGCGTTGGGGGGGGATGGTCCTGGGAGAGGGCGCGGCACCTTCCCCAGCTCAGCTCATGCTGACTTCCTTCTGTGGTTGTGTAGCCAGAACCACTGGAGTCCCTGGTGACTTCTGTCTGCTCTCGCTGCCTCTGTCCAGTCCGTCGAGAATGTGCCTTCCGACCCCCACTTTCACTTCTTGGTGGCTTCCTCGGGTGTGGGCTAGGCCCTGCCATAGCCTCGTGACTGGACTCCGGGCTCTTCCCCTCACGGTGTCTTCCTGGCAGAGCACGTGGGCTTTCCTGCTGACCACGAGTCGACCCTGTCGCACACTGTGCCAAACTCTCCGGGGGTTCCTGTCCCATCTGCTGCAGCAGAAACGCCAGAGCCCTTCGGGTGGCCACGCCGCCTGGTTCCTCCCCTGGCCTCGAGCCCCTGTGCCTGGAAGGTCGGGTGTCATCTGGGGAGACCCGTGGAATGTGCACGGCAGAGGTGGTGCTGGCTCTGCCGTGGGGCCCCAGCAGCTGCGGCCGTTTGAGAGGCTGGAGTGGGAGGTGCTTTAAAAATGAGAGAAGCGATGAAGCTGTAAAATGGATGGTGAGCCTCCTACTGCGCTTTTCTAATCGTGGAGCAGAAACGACTTGGGATGCTCACAGCTTGGAAGGCACGTGGCCCCCTGGAACAGAGCTAATCACAGGCATTTCCTGGGAGAATTGATTTTCCTGGGGGTTCCTTTGAGTGCGACTTGTGGCAGCGGATGTGCCATTTCCACTGTCTCCTTTTGCCAAGTCGGCTTGTGTTCTCTGGGGATTTTCCCCGCCGCGGCGGCGGCACGGCTGAGAGTGTGGCTGGTGGTGGAGCGGCCAGGACGGGGGCTAACTGCCTTCGGACACTGCACGGCCAGGACCTATGGTCCTGCTGGTCAGAGCCACTCCTTTAGGGACCTGCTAGGCACCAGGCACGGTGCCCACCGCTTTGCATGGATTGTCTCACCTAATCCTCAGAACACCTATGACGTGTGGATACTGTGGTTAGTCCCGTTTCTGCAGATCAGGGAACTGAGGTTTAGAAAGGTTAGGAGCCCCGAGGCCAGGCAGCCCCACATGGCAGAACTGAGGTGCCGGCTCCGTCTTCTCCTGGCCTGTGTGAGCATCTTCACCACGACATTACGGTGGCACCGTGTCATCTCACCGTGCACCAGGTAAGGGCTTTATTGCTTTCCACTGAAGTTCTGGTTTGATGTGGCAAGGGATAAGTTAACACCTCAGTAATAAAATAAATGCTTAAAGTGATAAAAATAAAGAGTGAAAATACAAGAAAATTTACAAAATGCTTGGAGCTTGGTGTTTGGGAGCAGGGACCTCTGGGGGTACCTTAGAGGACTCGGCAAACCAGGCTCCGCTGTGTGTTGTGAGCGTGGTGTCTGGATTGGCTCCGCTGTCCCTTTGAAGATGGTGGCACAGACTGAGAGTTGGGCAGTTGCCTGTGACTGGGTCTTGGGCCATAGTAAGTTCACGACCCTTTCTGGTATCATTAGAACGAATCGTTGGCACATCCTCTCAGCAAGGTTCTGGCTGTCGGCCCCAAGCCGTACGGTGCGTTTACGGGGAGGTCTCTCAGTTGACATCTCCAGATGTCACTGCCCGGGACGCCTGGGACCAGCCTTTCCTTCGCCCAAGGGTGTGTCTGCAGTGGGCCAGCACGAGAGGGGTCACTCTACAGAAGGGGTGCCCTGTGATTAGCCTTGACCTCTGCTGGTAGATGATGCAAGGCTTTGTTCAAAGTGGTTTCAAAATAATAAGCTTGTTGAAAATAGTGTTTTGATCCAAAACTGAGTCATAGAAATGGCCGACTGGGACAATGGCTGCCGGGCTATGGAAATGCTAAGGAGTCTTTGTGATGGGGGACAGAGCCTGAAAAACGTGGTCTCATTGTGGCACACACAGGAAAGGGCCGTACATGCACCCCACGGTGCAGTAAGCAGTTGGTGCTCTCGGCCAGAGGTGGCTGCCCGGGACCCTGGGTGGCCCCAGGGCTCACCTGCTGCCCAGGGGTGCAAGGTTCCAAGGTTTCCACACCCCCCCTGGCAAGGACCACCAGGACGGCAGCTCTGATGGATGGTATTTTTAAACTCCATCCTGACGTTTTGGCAAAAAGGGCTTACTGGGAAACTTTTTAATTCTTCAGGTATTTGATTATGAAGGTAAGTTGTCATGTGAGGGAAGTCCAATTTCTGCAGTTTATTTTCTAAAGAAAAATGGTGATTTTATTTTTATATCTTGTCCTAAGTCACTTAAGGTTGTTAAAAATATTAAGACCCCTACGTTACAACAGAAGTGGATACACGGCCATCTGTAATATGACAGGATCTGAACATTGCTTCTGGGACTATCAACTGCGGCAGGTTCTCTCCTGATGGGCAATTTCTAAGGAAACATTCTTAAAATGAACACTTGGACACTGTTTTTTTTCGACTGATTATACAGAACTCATCAAAATTAGCACGTTTTCTCCCAAACAATCATCCTGGTTCTAAAAATAGTGGCTATTAGGTAGCTTCCTGTGTGCTGGTCAGAACGACGACTGTGTATAACTCTGTGAACTGTGCCCTCTGAGAGAAGAGGGAGAGGAAGGTAGGAGGACGGCATGCTGTCGACAGTGGGAAGACAAAAGAGGCTTAAAAGCACCGACGGAGAGATGAACGTGCTGCCTAGGAACCATGACCCTGTGGGTCACGTCGCCCAGGTGGCTGTCGACTGGGAGCGGAGCTATGGGACACTGGATTGTCTGTTTTGACTTTTCACGGTTCTTTATTCATCTCTCTCGTCACTTTGGGTTTCTAGCTGAGGTGTTAAAACGAAGACTAGAAGACCTGGAGAAGGAGAAAAGCAGCTTGCACTTCCAGCTTCCTTCCAGGCAGCCGGCCCTGCGCAGCCTTCTGGTCTACCTGGGAGCACAGGCAGAGGCCGCCCTGCGCCAGGCCACTCAGCAGTAAGTACAGGGGATGGACCCCGCCCTCCTCTCCCTGGGTCCCCTCCTCTCTCAGCTCCCAGGTGGTGAAGAGCTGGGAGGGGATACGCTGGAGAGACCCTCAGGTTCCTTTTTGGGGAAGCGCCCTTTTGCTGGTTGGACAGGCAGAGTTTTCTTCCCGAATTAGGGACCCGTGTGGGTCCACTCCCCTAAGAAGCCCTTTCTGCTAATTGACAGAGAGAAGCCCTAGACGTGCAGAGTCAAGGCCTGGGGGCAAAGCTTCCCTGGGAAGCCAACCTTCTGAGAAGGTGGGGGTGGGTTTCCTCTCGTCCTGGGCAGCTCGGGCTCCTGGCCTTGTATTAGCCTGTCAGATCCACAAACCGTCTTCCTCCTTCTGCTACCCAAGGGTCTCCTGGCGTCGGTAATGGAGAGCAACTGCCATTTCTAGCCCTGTGGTTCTCATCCTGGCTGCAGGCTTGAATCCCCTGGAGAGTTTTTAAATGTTCAGTTTCCACCCAGACTGAGCCCGTTGCTGCTGCTAGTGGGTCCTAGGCTCTGGCGCTGGCGTGGCTGGGGGTCGGAGAAGCACTGCTTTTAGACACTTGCTTGCGTCCTCTCTCCCCGGGAAAAAAAACAGGCTTCAGAGAGAGTAGGTTTGTGAGGGAGGAGGGCTGTCAGCCCCATCACAGTCCGGGCCTGCTTCTCCTTAGGTGTAAACAGGGCCACAGCAATGACATTTTATTTCCAATCTGCCTGACGACCACCAGACTGGCCCACTCCACGTGGGTGTGCACGGGGTTACACAGTCAGTGCGTCTTGGTGCCTCCCTGCAGCCTCTGTTAACAGTGAGGCCGATTATTTTCTGGAGGTTCGCCCTGAAGTTTTGCTGGTAGCAGAGTGAGAGTCACCTGGTAGGTGCTTCCTTCCAAGTGTTTGCCAAATGAGCCTTCACCTTTTAAAAAACAGGTGAATCCCACCCATTTCTGTTCTTTTTATTCATCACACGTTGAGCTGGCACCTTGTTCCCTCTCCCTTCCTCACACGGGGCTCTTCCCAACTTGACCGTCTACTGAGTTCTTTCTTTTGTTTGTTCTTAGGGGTTCGTTCGTTCTTGGCCTCCCCCCAGCCTGGGCCTTTTTAGTCTCTGCTGACGTGTTGTGTTTCTATTTCCTCTGCAAACACTGCCCAGCAGTTGCTAAGTGCCTTTAAAAGTAACTCAGTTAAACATTTTTATTGTGATAAAATATACATGACCCAACGTTTGCCATTTTAACCATATTAAGAGTACAGTTTCATGGCATTGAATACATTCACATCATTGTGTGACCATCACCACCATCCACCTCCAGAACCCTTTGATTTTCCCAAACGGAAAGTCCGTTCACATTCAACACTAACTCTCCTTCCCCCTCCTTCAGCCCCTGGGAACCGTCATTCTACTATCTGTGTCTATGAATCTAATTTTTCTAGGGACCTCACGTAAGTGGGATCACACGGTATCTGTTCTTTCCCGACTAGCTTATTTCACACTGCATAATGTCCTCAAGGCTTATTCATATTATAGCAGGTGTAGATATTTCCTATCTTCTCAAGGCTGGACAATATCTCATTGTATGGATGGGCCACGTTTTGCTTATCTATTCTTCCCTCAGTGAACAGGAAGTGACTTATTTAATCCTCAAGACAATTCTAGGGGGTGTACTATTTTATATGTTGATATCTGTACTTACGTGGAGATCTGCATTGTCCTCTAGATCTATATTTGTATTTAAAGATGAGGAAACTAACCCAGAATAGGTGAAGGAATGAGTGCCGACCACCCGGCGGTGGTGCGGAGCCCAGGCATAAACCAGGCCTTCTGGCTCTAGTCTTGGGCTTTTCTGTGATCAAGTCAGCCTACGTGTGATTTGGTTGGACAGCGATGCTTTGTTATGGTCTTGGCTGAGTTTCTCATAGAACACAATGCTCCAATAAAGGCAGTATCATGCATTCCCACACAATGAGGTCACATCATCTGACGTTTATGTTGACATTTTGGGCTGTAGCAACTTTATAGGGTCCAGCCTAATATATACCCATAAAAACAGAAGCCTTTATGCCCCACTTACGAAGCCAGTATAAACAGCTGGCTTACCCCGTTCACTATTATCCTCTCTCCTTTCCTCACAGGAGCTGCTTGTACCCTGATATGATCTGAGTTCTTTCTCTCTCTCACTACTGAAGTCAGCAGTGACTTCAGCAGTCAGGTATTAAATTTAAAAGGCATTTTAAGTTCTGGTTCTGCTCTGCATCGCTGCATCGTCCAGGACTTTCACTCAATCAAACTCATCCCTGAAACTCTCTGCCCTTGACTTTCCTGTGTCACCCTGTCCTGCTCTTCTTGTTGCCTTTATGGCCATTCTTCTCAGTCTCCCATGAGCTCCTGTTCCTCGCTCAGTGTCCCCAGTATTCATGCTCCCCCGCTCCAGTTGCAGCCTGTCCTCTTTCTCACTTTCTCTGCTCTCTCGGGACGATTGCGAAGATTCCCATGCTTCAGGCATCATTAATGCATGAATTTCCCTCAAATGTATATCTCTATCTCCCTTCTCTCTCTGGAGTTCCAGCCTACAATGGAGCTTTTGATTGCACATCTTCCTGACCCCAAGTTTATTTTTTTATCCTAAAGCTTTACTATCTTTTAAACCTATTGACTAAAGTTGACTGTCTCCCTAATCGCCCTCTTCTCCTGTACCCTCAGTCTCAGTGACTTATGCCACCGTGGTCCCAGCTACCTGAGCAGGAACTCTGGGATGTCCTTGGCTTCTCCCTCTGCCCCACCCCCAGTTCCGAGGTCAGCAGGTCCTGTTGGCTGTCTGCCTTTATCTCATTCCCACTCGCTTTGCACCCTCATGGCCATGCCTGAGCACTGTTCTCAAGTTTGTCATCGGGGGATCGCAGTGGCCTCCTTACTGGTGTTCCTGATTCCCAGATGACTCCCTCCCATTCATCGGCCACAGTGCCACCAGTGGAGATGAAGTCACACTCCATGCCTTTCAGGATAACATCTGTGCCACTCAGCATGGCACCCACAGTCCTTCCATCCAGCACCTGCCCGGCAGCCCAGAATCTCACCAGCCCTCTCCAACACCTGCAGTCTGTACATCCTACAGTATGAGACGTTCCCTGAATGCTCTGAGTGCTTCTAAAGTCTATGACCTTGCACGTGACTCACCGTCCTCACTACCTTCCTTGTGTAGCCTTGCCCATGAGCCACTCCGTCTCCCCCTTGAGTTACTGGAGCACCGGAACTTCCTCACCTCTTTCTTGAGTGTTAAGTAAATATCTTTCCTCCAATACCTGTCTCCTCTGTAAGACTACAAGCTCCTGGAGGACAGGCTGTATTGGATTTACCTTTTCATGCCGAGCGACCAGAACAGTGGCTGGGCCATACTAAGTGTTCTCTAAATATTCGCTGAATGAGTGAATATGATACAAACGTGCATGTACCTATGTGTAGGTCGTCAAGGATATATGTGAATGTCTATTGTGAGAGAGAGAGAGCAGCTTCACTCGAATGTGGTCCAGATGCCCTGGAGAAAATGTCTCTTCAGCCCTCCTTCTGACTCCCCCAGCAAGAGGGGCTTCCCAGGGGCTTGAAGGACCCTGCGCTGGAGATCAGGAGACCTGAGGTCTGGCCTTACTTCTTCCGCTAACCCCCATCATGCCCTGGTGTAGCTCCCTGACTTCTGAGCACTTCACTCCCCTCGTTGGAGAGCGAGAGGGTTGGATTAGATTGCTGTCGGCCAGACTGCAGTTATTTATGTATTACCTTTTCCAAATCCACCTGAGTGAGAAGGTAATGACCCCAAATCAGTTTCTTGCCTACGTTTTCATAATTCCTATTAACATTACACAGCTACTCATAATTTTTAAAAAATTGTCTTTCAGCACACCAGTGCCCATCTAGCGCGTCACATTTGTCATCACCAGGATTATCTGGGCTTGCAGGTCTCCCCTAAACAAGGGGCTGTGGCTGCAGCTCTCACAGCGGCCACCAGGGGGACACGGTGCGGGGCTGGAGCTCCCAGACCAGTGAGCCCTGAGCCTGGACAGGTTTCTCAGGCTCCCGAGTCAAGGGGGAAACAGAATGCTTTGCAATGAATGGTCCTTTCTTTCTTTTTTAGAAATGGTTGTATTGACTTGGCATTTTTCAATGAATGAAAACACCAATAAGTGTCTCCTAACCTTTTGGGATCAAGTATTTGAGTGAGAACCTGGTGAAAGCTGTAGGCTTCTTCCATCCCAAACCACTGTGTACAGACATACACGTGACTGTGTGCGGTTGCAGGGGCGCGCGGACCCCCCACTCCTCAGGGGCCGGGGGGCCTCGGGTTATCACAACTTTGCCTAGAATAAGATTCAAGGAAATGCAAACTCCCAAGTACAATCAGGTACTTAGATTTTAATTTTTACTGTCCCTTTGTTCATTATAATCCCTGTTGAATTCCGTTTTTAAGGAAGCACAGTTAACTCCCTAAAGCTGGTGTAGGGGACCAGCCCGAATCCCACCTGGTTTGCTCAGGCCCTTCCGGCAGCTCAGGGAGTTTTAGCTGCCACCCTCAGGGGCCAGCCAGACTCCCTGAAGAGCAGACACGGGTCCTCTCAGTAATGCACTGGGTCCCTGGGTGCCTGTCCTCCGTGGGTACAAACTCGGCGTGGTTGCCCTCTCCTCCAGTGTCCGTTGAGCCAGTGAATCCATCGTTCCCATTTCTTCATGACATTCTGGGCAGATAGAAATGTCTGGGGCATTTTCAGTTGCTGGTGTCCATTCGTCCATCCAGTTGGGAACGTAATTATCCACCCAGTTCAAGTCTTTCCCTGTCTGGCGTCTGCGACCCTCTCCTTGGTGGTCACTGCTGCCTCTCTGGCTGCTAGAGGTTGACTCACCTGCTCTCTAAAGGGACTTGTGTGGGTTCCCCAGTGGGCACCACGGGGTCCTCCTGCTGCCTAGACCCTGGTGAGAATGGAGCCGTCTTTGTGCA